ATCTTGAAAATATAGATGGGAAAAGGCCACAAAGGCTGTTTTCTTTCAGAAGAAGTTAGAATTCGGACAGCAAAAACATTGAAGCTTATTTTGTAGTTACGTGTGTTGTCATTTAAAAATATAGCTGGAGAGAAGTTAACTTGATTTAATACCCTTCATTTTTTGCTAATTAAACTTTGGTTCATGTATCAGCCGTGGTATATGGTATCGAAAACCTTGGCCGAGGAAGCTGCATGGAAATTTGCAAAACAGAATGGGATTGACTTGGTGACGATACATCCAGGATATGTGACTGGTCCTCTCTTGCAGCCAACTCAATATTTCTGCTGAGGGGATTCTGAACTTCATAAATTATGGTATGCTTTTCTGTAGCAAATGAGGATGCTGTATACGAAAGTATCTTTCTACTTGACACGTTTTCATTCTTCATCTCAATTCTTTTCATATGTTTTACTTAACTAATCAGGTTACAAATAGAATATAATCTAGTTTGGAGATAATCCTTCTGAAAACTCTTTATCTCATCCATTCTGTCATTTGAAGTTTAAAAGGCAGCCGTGTCAGTGCTGCTATCTCAATTTGTTCTTGTTTGTAAGAAGTCTAAATTCATTATTCATTACAAAATTCAATTATTTTGTGAGGCACAGGAGATGCTATCTTCTCTGAAGTTTGCTCATTGTTTCCCCTTCTCTTTTTCTTTTTTAGTTCTGATGAGATGCCTATTTGTTGAGAACAATGGCCCCCAAGGATAATTTCTCTTTCCCCAAGGAAATTTATCGCAGAACATCATTCTCTTTGGATTTTGCCATCGTAAATTAGTTAAATCTGTTTGTATTTGCTTTTTGTACATTTTATAGCGTTAGGTATTCATATCGTTGAATGAATTGCACACAGCAAAAGCATTCCTCTTCTCCAGTCAGCTCCTGCTAAGTCGGCCAGCCCAGTACCAACTTAAACTTCCAGCAGCAGACCTTGACAGTCAGCCACATCAGCTCACCACTACAAACCCAGCTCCTGCCTTCCCAGCTCAGCTCCTGCTACAACAGCATTACAGATCAGCTCCTTCTCAGCACATATCAGCTCAGCAAGTACCAGCAGCAAAAGCAGCATCAACACAGGAATACTGCATAAGCAGCATAGCACACAATCTCCCACACCACTGCTCCATTATCAGCAGCAGAAAAGTTAAAGAGAACAGCAGAAATAAGACCATTCTGTTTTTGTTGCATCTGCAGGTTTGGATCCTGACCTGTGAGATGCTGACGATGTAAGAATTTGGTACCCCCTCAGTATTAGTTTCGAGTTGCTCCATTAATTTATACTTCTGGACTCATGCTATAAGTTGCCATGTCATGTTGTTTTTGCCAAATATCTGTTGTGGTCTATGGACATCCTGCGTAAGTGGGCACATATTGACTTGCTTACTCTTGCAATTATTCTTCCTCTACTTGTATGCTTCTATCCTTTTGCCCCTTCTGCGAGGGGGTGGGGACCTGCAGATGAGAATTTAAGTCTCCCTGTTTCTTTATACTTAAGCATTTACTTCCTGTTATTCCTTTTCCATCCTCCTTTTTTCCCTTGTAAATAAAAAATTAGCTGATATTTTTCTGTTATATTTACGCAGGGCACTAGTATTTATATGGGAGCTGCTCCAATTGTTGAATGTATGGAAAGGTACAAACCCAATGTTATTGTTACTTCTCGGGTTGCAGATGCTTCATTATTCTTAGCTCCAATGGTAAGAACTACAACTTCTTGATTCAATTAGTACATATCAACATGCTTCTTTTTGATTCTAAGTCAGTGTTTACACACCAGGTGTCTGGTGGCTTTTTTTACGTCTCTGCCATGGGTTGGGCACGTGGTAATTCATAGGATTCTACTTTTGTAGAAAATGTCAGTGCACCTCGTGTTACCGCTATAATAAAAATTAGAATGATTCGGTGGATCAAGGGCACCATATGGATGATCTGTTTCAAAACTTGTCAACAATAAAAAATTTTAAACTGTTCACGTGTAAGTAAATTATAATTCAAACGTGCTGCCTATCCGACCAATCAAAATTTGAATGATTCCACGTATTGGTTGTAGCGGCAGGTTTTTCTGTTGGTTATACCCATGCTTAAATTTCAGGGCTACTTATGGTATAATTTAATTGTGAGGGGGTATTGGTGTAAATCAGTACTGTGACATTTATGAGTGTAGTAATTGAGGCAGAAGCTCTAGAGAATTTTGTAGGGGACAAAATGAGGTGGCTAATATTCTTTTATTGGTTGTAAGAGGCGGTGGTAATTACACTAAATTTTGTAGGGGTACTTATGGTTTTAACTCTATTCTGAGGGGGTGTAAGTCAATAATTGGTCATGAAAACAGTAACACTCTTGTTTGTGTATAGGTAGTGGGTATAACTAATTAACTATAGGATACCCTACTCTTTACAAACTGGGAGTCCTAACGCCATTGCCATTTGTAGTAAGTAATGAGCTAATCCAGCTATACTTATAGTCATGGTTCTATCTAAATTTATTGACAAGTTGAATGGTACCTAAAACAAACATATTCTCACTGTCTAAAATGAATATGTACCTATAACCTTTTCATGTGTTTGTTTTATACAATATTTTCTCTAGATCAATTTATTTTGGATATCATCTGATTAGATTTGTTTTGTTAAATGATAGAGCGTACTTTGAATTCTCTTGATGGCTTATAAATTTTAAGTTCTAATATTTTCCATGTATTTGATAGGTTTGTGACAAGCATAAAGCAGTACTTTGAATTCTCTTGATGGCCTATAAATTTTAAGTTCTAATATTTTCCATGTATTTGATAGGTTTGTGACAAGCATAAAGCAATCCTGTTGGCAGATATTTCTAATGGAATGGTTGTGTGTGGGTGGTCAGTTTTCATTATGCAGATCTTAGATAGTGTTAAGCTTGGAGATGATATTTAAAGGCATGAAACTGGAATGCTGAAGCTATTCAAGTTTAAAAGACATTAAATGTAATTAGAGATGATGTAAATCTCCTTGAAAGATTAAAGCCATTTTTTTTTATTTTTAGAACTTCTTATTTTTTGATTCTTGTAATTAACTTTTTTTGAAATAATTTTTTTTTTTTTTTTAAAGATGAGGAATTGTGTTGTTTTTTTTATTGAATACAAGTATTATTAGTGTACAGGTGAAAAATTTTATTGGAATATCATTTTTTATGTAAAATAAAAAAAATAACTTTTTTGCGACGAAATAAAAATTATCGCGAAAAATTGCAGGTTTTTTTTCGACAATTTTTGTATGTCGCAAATGTATTTATTCAATTATTTTTTATATTGTTAATTTATTAAAAAGTTATTTGTGACAATTTGTTTACGTCGCTAAAAATTAATTAAATTATTATTTTTTATATTTTTTTTTATGAAAAAATTATTCGTGACGATTTTTTTACGTCCGCTAAAAATTAATTAAATTATTATTTTTTAAATTTTTATTTATGAAAAAATTATTCGCGACAATTTTTTTACGTCGCTAAAAATTAATTAAAATTATTTTTTTTTATTTTCTATAGATTAAAAATTATTCTCAACGATTTTTTTTTTTTGTGTCGCAAAAAATTAATTAATTATTATTTTTTATTTTCTAACTTTGTTGGAATATATTTTAGCGACGTTTTTTAACTTTTAGCGACAATTTTATTTCGTCTCAAAATTTTTTGTTTTT